TCAGGCTGCATGGTCCCAACTGCCCTGCAGTGCAGTCTGTTGATTCTTTGTGTTCAGATCTGTTCACTTAGGGCCGAGGATTTAGCTCAGTGGCATAAGCGCCAGCCTGGCAAGTGTGAGGTTGTGAGTTTGATCCTTGGTACAAAAAAAAAAAAATCTATGCACTTCATTTTTAAACTCAAAGTTTCCACTTGATTCTTCTAATTTCCTTCTCTTTATTGGTATTGCTCATGAGATATTACTGTTACACTTTCTTTTAGTCTTTTGTATGTGATTTCCTTTTATTCTTTAAAGATATTTTAAACATTTGTCTATCTTAGCATGGTTTGCTGTCCCCTGAAATCCCAGATTATTCAGGAGGCTGAGGCAGAAGGATCACAAATTCAGGCCAACCAGAGAATTTAGTGAGACCGTGTTTCAAAAGTAACATTAAAAAGGCTGGAGACACAGCTCACCTCACATGTGCAAGGGTCTGGAGTTCAGGCCCCAGAGCTGGAAAAAGTGTCTTCAGTAAGTCCATGCTTGGGCATCTTCGTGGATGTTCGTGTTCATTACTTTTTCCTCTTGTGTATTGGCCCTCTCTCCTTCCATCTTCCCTTCTTCATTTTTCTCTTGGAAACAACTGACTGTGGAAGAGGACACAGAGCCACAGCTCTGGACAGAGCGCCCAGGGCCGCTGCAGGACATGGTCCCTGGGGTGGCGGGGACGACGTTTGGTGAGAGGAGCATCTGAACAGCAACCCAACGCCACTGACTCATCAAACGCACTGGGCCATCCATGAACCCGAGTGCCAAGGTCTTAGTTTGGAAAACACAACTCATGCACAAACGTCTTTGGCCTTAAAACACTCCACACAGATAGCCCCAGCCCTCATGTGCTCGTGGTGCTTTTCTGCAGAAGAGCTGGAGCTCCCGGTTTAGTTTGTGCTGATACCATCGATGGCTTAGTGTCTACACTTAGGACCAGGATGAATTAACCTCAGAGCCTGGCAAGGCTGAGGTGGGCTCATGTTTCCCGTGCAGAGCAGCCATCCTTCCCTGCGGACCGCTGATGCCATCCGACCGAGGAGTGGGAGGGGACACGGGCTTCCATATGGTCCTCTGGCTCCCAGTGCATCAAGGACGGTGGTGGCCCTGCCATGCCTTGCCCTGCCCTGCAGGAGAGGCTCTGACTTTAGATCTGCAGGGGTTTTGAAGTGACTTGTGGAGACATCACGGTTTTTCCCAGTTCACCGAATATTTTTCTCCTGTGCTCCGCCCATTTCTCCTTCTTCTCTCCAAACCCCCAGTGATACTGCAGCGTGAATGGCTCCAGCTCTGCACTATGCAAACAGCAAAGTTCAGGAAAAGTCCACCCGGTGCTTGTAGCTTTGCTCACCGCTTGTCTCACCGCAGACACAGAGAGCGACAGGGCTGTGTCACTGTGGGCAAACACTCGGGCTGCTTTTGTGTTTTTCTTTTTGGGACTGCAAGTCAAACTCAGGACCTCGCGCTCGCCAGGTCCTCGCTGTGACACTGAGCTGCATCTCTGGCCTCGTCACTGTTGTGCTTTATTTGTGTACAATATCGTAACCATGGCTCCAGAGAAAGTTAGTGACAGCAGTAAAGCTGAGAGGAAAACAGAACCACAACAGAGCCCAAGAAAGAAGCCACCACTAGACTGGTTAAAGGCCTGGGAAAATGAATTTGTATGTGCAATTTTTGGGACCTCAAAAGTCTTATTTCTTATGGGAAAAATATGTTCAGTTCTCCAGTTTTTTGGTGTTTGAACATGAGTCAGGAATAGACTGTAATGCATTTTAGGCCGTTTGTATTTTATGTAGGTCCCTGAGAATGTGTTCATTGGTTGTCAGTCTCTTTTCTTTGTGTTCTTCCAATGGAACTGCTGCTTTTTATGTTTTTATGTTTCCTGAATCTTTTGATTTCCATTTTCTCCAATCTTCTGCTCCATCTATCTAATGTTTTTTAATATCAATATCAATATCATTTCAGTTCTAGAATTATTCAGTTTTTAAAACTGTTTATTTCTGGGCTGAAATTCCCCATCTATCCATTGTGACTTGAGGTCGCTGGGTGTTTTTATCATCGCTGTGACAGCACCAAGCCTGCCATCTTGGGGTCCCTCCTGGTCACTGCTTTCTCTCTGTCGTGGGTCTCAGCTTGCTGCTTCCTCAGTGGTGGCCGGGTTTCTTCACCAAGGCTGTGCGTGAGAACTGCCCAGTACTGGCGTCTGTTGTAGGAGTCCAGGCTGTCCATTCAGCCCGAGTTTCCTGGTCCCGGGGCAGTGCAGGGCCATGTATGTAGTGGAGTCGAGTTTCCATATGGAGTTTTGAGGCTCCCAACTGCATGACCCTCTCTTTTGTGGGTGCTCTTTTATTTATGGCCTTGGTGCCCCCTGAAATCTGCCCTGGGTCTTCCCATCTACAGGACCAAGGCTTCCTTCATGGCCCCGGGCAGTGATGTCTCGTGGCGAGGTCCCTCCCTCAGGGCCGAGTCCCTGCAGCCTGTTTGTTCTGGTCCCAGTTCAGGGCTGCAGGGCAGCTCTGCTTTCCTGTTGGCTGGTGGCATAGCTGCCCCTGCGGGGAAGCTGTGATACAACTTTACCAGCACGGAAGGCCAAGCAGCCCACTTCAAACATGTTTCTAGATCTGAATAGAAATTGTTCTATCCACTTGTGATAGTGGGGACCACCCAGACACTCTCCTTGACCCTCCATGAGAAGAAGAGCAGCCATCTCCATCCTGGATAAGCCTGGCCTTGTCTCCAGGTCCTGATCTGTGCAGCGCTGGCCGGGCTGTTTCTCTGTCCCTTCAGTGGGCGCTAAGCAGTGTGGACTGGGCTGGCTGCGGAGCTGATGTGTCACCCCTGGAGCAAGGCAGCAGGTCAGTGGTAGGACCCCCAGATATGTGAAGAGCCGTGCTCCACGCTGTGGGCTAGGACTGAACCTAGAGGAAGAGGGGGTGACTTCCCAGGGCAGACAGGACCGTGCATCAGAGCAGAAGCACCAACCTCTGCTGTGTTGCCCAGATCGCTCTCTCTGCGTTTCTTGCCTTCTGCAGAGGTGAAATCAGACCTCCTCCTGCCCAGCTCATGGTGGTCATGTAGTTCCCGCCACTCTCACTGTCACTCATCCCGAACCATGCCCCTTATGGAGAATCAATAAAGCTCAGGTTAGACCCTAGGTTGAGGCCTTTGTTCTGGTGAACCCCATCTCGGCTGGACTTACGACCCTCGGCTCCCCACAACTGTACATGTCTCAGTGTCTTTATTATCGCTTTGGGTTGCACTGGAAGTGGTAGGTTGGAATGAACTCACTAGAATTCCAGTAACTTCTCCATGGGGTTGCAAATATAAACCTTCCTGGCCCCCGACGAGGACAAGAAAGGTTCTCTGTTGTGACCTGAGGCATCGCCTCCTTTTTATGCATGGAAATTGATGCTCCTAGTTTGTATGAGATGCTGCTTCCGTGCCTGTGGAAATTTCTCCTTAGAATGCAAAGAAGGTTGGCTCCGGAAGGAGAACAGCTCTTCTCTGACCTTGTGAACTTGAGAAGACTGTTTACCCTTAGGCCTGTCCACTGGTGTCATGCAGGGGAAAATTTAAAACTCATGTTTACCAAGACTGCAGACTCAGTCTCAAGCGTCATTCAGAAAATAAAAATAAATAAATGCTTATGTTGCAATGCATACAGCAAGTGTTAGAAACAAACCACAAGTGTGGGCTCCTTTTTTTTTTTTGTCTTTTTTTTTCCTTTTTATCGGTACCAGGGATCGAACTCACGACTGCCTGCTTGCAAGGCAGGCGCTTACGCCGCTGAGCTAAATCCCCAGCCCCAAGGGGTCCTTTTTTTTTAACCTCCTCTCTGGCAGTGGGACTGGTAGGAGCAACTCCTCTCCAATCACCCCCTTTTTCCAGTTACCGTACCATAATACTAAGATTGCTTTAAAAGCAAGAGGTGGGAGGGAGTGAGGGGTACGGAGGTTCCCCAGCAGAACTCCTCACGTGTGGAAGGGGAGGTTCTTCCCACCCGCAACTCACACCACTCACCCCAGGAATCTGGGGACCAGAGCTGCTGATGTCAACATGAATCACTTCAAACACGAACTAAGACGTCACGCCAGAAACAGTTTTGAATCTTAAGACATACATGAAACTAAATTTTAAAAATGGAGTGTGCCCCTGCTTGTGAAAGCAACTCTTGTTCTGTAATTTATAAAAGAACAATAAAATAGCAATTGTGTAGGACAACATTTCGCAAATGCTATAAATTAATACATTATGGCACATTTCCCACGTGTTTGCACACTGCTCTTTGTGGCTTTAGTATTTGCACTGCGTCTCCTGGCATAATATGAGACAGCCTGAGGAATGGTGTCTGCACCGACGCATTATTTGTGAATGACATCACAGATCTCCAGTGACACCCTCAGCCTCTGCTTGGTGTGAATATGAAGGTGACGCCATCACCCATGCCTTTTCTCCACATGTGAGCGCACAGAGCTGGGCTCTCAATGGACGAGCAGATGCTTGGGGGGCATCATTGTGACCAGGTTCTCTGGCTTGAATGGTGCCGCTGCCCCCTAGGGCTCTGCCGGCCGGAGTCTCTGCCTCATCAGGCCTGTGAGAGCCTCGCTTCTGCTTTGCCCATGTCCAGCTTCTGTGCAGCTGGGGTGTCCCCAGCGCTCCATCATAAGAGCACAGTTGGGCGGCGACAGCTCACGTGAACTCACGTGGGGCTGCACTGCTAAGTGTGTCACAGAGCACAAGGCCGCAGAGTCATCATGAAATTGGAGGGGGGCCCCTGACGGCCAAGTGCTCAGAAGCTGCTCCCAGGAGAGGCCAGGGACGCTCCTGTGGGACTCTGGGGATGACACGGTCACACTGCACTAAAGGGGACACTGGTGCTCTCCTGCTAGGAGGGAGCCAAGGAGAAGGGGCCACAGGAAATCACATGCTGAGTCCCGGCGCAGCCCAGCCTGGAGCACAGTGTCACCGCTTACCTGCGCAGCGCCCTTGTCCTTGGATTCAGCTGATCTGAAGGTGGGTGTGGGCTGTGCAGGCTGCCAGCACATGGCTTGCGCTCCAGTGTCTGCTGGGTTTCTAATAAGTCCCCTATGGCTCTCAGGTCGATGGCTGCTGATGGCTTCAAAGCCAGCCCCGGAAGTGTGGTCATCGAAGTGCATGGCCACCTGAGCCCGGGACCAGCAGCTGCTCTGTGTGGTCAGATGGCAAAGATTCACCCCAGGCCACACCAGGCAGTCACAGTACCCACGTCCTTCACAGCACAGGAAACGGGCCCAGCAGTGCGAGCTGTGTTCCAGTGAAACCTCGCTTACAGACGGGATGAGCTGGACAGTGCGGGCAGCCGGCTGAGACAACTAGGGTGAGCTGGTGCAGAGCAACAGGAAGCCTCCTCGGGAACCCAGCCCCAGTTCCCACAGTGAGCGGAGGCAGCACCTGCAGAGCCCTGCCCTGTGAGATTCCCATGGAAACACCAGACGGGCCTTGGCTTGGTTCAGAGTACCCCGCAGCAGCTGACCCGGCCTCCCCGAGATCCTCAGAGCCCGAGAACCGCTTACCTGGGCAGAATCCCCAAAGGGCGGACAGGAAGGGGCACACTTGTCCAGGATGGTGCTGACCAGGCCAGGCGTCTGCAGGGTGACTTGACCAGCGGCAGCTGAGGACAAAAGCCACTCAATTCAGGTTACTTTACTACAAGTACAAGCAACGGGAAACTCACCACGCGATCTGCTCTTACACACACACTGGGTTCCTCGGTGGGTACATACATGTACCTGGCCCAGGAGTAATCGTTATGGTACGTGGTACTATTTCATTCATTGGGGAAGACAGAAAACAGAAGCTTACTCTATGGATAAAACAGCTGTGGAAACTTTCAAAATATGCCTAATTTCTAAAATAAGGATGTGGGGCACGCTGGCACATGCCTATAATCCCAGCATTCGTGAGGCTGAGGCAGGAGGATTGAGACCAGCCTGGGTTACAAAGTGAGCTCAAGGCCTGCCTGAACTGCATAGTGAGACCCTGTCTCAAAAAGACAAAAAGTAAAATAAAGCTGACAAAATCTGAATATTCTTGCTAATGCAATAAGCTGTCATTGATTTTGAGCCTGGATCAATGTATAACATTATAGTGAAAGCATATTTAATTTGTCTTCTGGCTTTTAAAAATACAAATCGATGTTTGGGTTCAAAATGATACTTTGTAAATATAGAAAATGTCCATTAAAAGTGAAATTCAACTTTAATCTCTCTTCAGGTAGTCCTGTTTTCCCTATTTTGTAACAGTTCAGAATTTATGTCCCCAGATTTACTTTAAGCATTTAAGTAGTTAAGTATGTGCCTGTAAGAATATGCAATATTCTTAAAATAAATGCAAATGGGATTACTGTGTCATACAGGTCCCACTGAAAAGCAGCATTAGAGACTTCATAAATAGTTCATCATAAAACAGAACACTGTGCCCTTTCTTCATATTCAAAGTATAGACAACTTTCAGTTATTTGGAAAAGTCAGTGCTGCATTCTCTAGGAAACTGCTTAACTGCTCCCCTGGTGGTAAACATGAAAATGGTTTCCAGTTTTTACCACTGACCACAAATGCTGGAGCCCATCACCACGCTGGAGGGCACGCAACATTTGTGATTTTTAAAAAATAAATGTACTTGAGCGAATTTGGATTTACATTAATCAAATGCCTGGGCCAGAGGTACTCTGAAAAAGTAAATGACTCCCATATCTGTTGACTAGCAATCAGTGTTTTAGGGAACCCAGGAACTCTGGATATCCTCAATGACTTAGAAGAATTTATCTGTTGCTTAGGAAGTGATTCAATATGTAAGAATTACGCTACTGCCAAGTTAAGCCCATAATTTTCCATCATGATTCAATAAGCATTCAATAAAGTTACCACACTCTTGAGGAAATACTATTAAATGTGTTTCTCATGACTAGCATTCATGCAAGAGTCTTAATTTTAGTGTGTTTTTTTTTTCCTCACTTAAACAGTGGGCTCTTGCCACGTGTGGTGACTTATGCCTGTAAACCCAGCACTTGAGAGGCTGAGACAGGAGGATCGTTGCAAGTTCGAGACCAGCTTGGGCTACAAAGTGAGCTCAAGGCCAGCCTACACTTCATAGCAAGACCCTGTCTCAAAAAGACCAAAAAAAAAAAAAAAAAAGAGAGAGAAAGAAGAGTGGGGTCTTGATTTGGGGCTCACTTTGGCCAACAGGCATCATTTGCTTCCGGTTCGTAAGTTACAAAAGCCAAACTCACTGCAGAGGCGCTGAGGGGCCCACAAGCCCTGGGAGTGCACTTACATGCCAGGCACACCCCGGGCAGCACGCTCGCCAGGTTCAGGTATGGGTTTCTGCTGAGCCGAATTTCTCTGGGTGGTTCTCCAAGGAGCGAGGTCTGAGTCTGAGAGGCGGCCTCTTTCTCAAAGGCATCAGCACTTAGCAAGAGCGGCTGGGACAGATGCACAAGGGACAAAGGGATGTCACTCCTGGCACATCCAATCTCATGTGATAAGGACCTGTGTAGCCTGATCTGACAATAGGAACTTAGGAAATATTTACGGGTGTGGACTAAAAATTAAAATTATCGCATTGCACCTGTTATCGTCTCAATTGGTTTTTTTTAAAAACAACTATTCTAGAACCAAAGAACTGTCAGAAGTGAAATAGAGGTAACGGTATCTTGTACAGTCTTCTCATTTAAAGCTGAAAGAATTCATCTTCACTGGAAAAAACAATCTCAAACCTCATTTCTTGAAAAAGCCATCAACATTTATTATTCTGATTGTTATTTTATATCATATGGCCATAACTAAAGGTCAAAGGAAAGTTTACTTATCTTTGGTACCAAAAGTAACACCAAGCAAAACGGGTGAGTTTAATAAACAACTACACACGTAGAGGACAAGACTACAAATTACAGCTCTCAAAAATTTATCACATGGCTGTTAGACTGTAGGACTGGTTAAGTATGAGGGTTCTAGCCTTTCTTCAACAGATAAAGACATGAAGACATGGTCTGATTCTTCAGTGTGTCTCGTTTTCTCCTGGAAAAATCTTTCCCATTTTACTCTCTGAACATAAAAATTGTAAAAGTAAGACATGATTCAGGTTAATATAAAGCTAATACCAACTGGAATGTGGCAAGACTTACCATGCAGACCTCTTGGTTTGTATGTTATTTTTTCTCTCAATTTTTATTTTTACCAGCACACCTGCAGGGTTTAATGGTCACAACCTGGGACAGCTGGTGTGTGTGCATCACCCTCATTCTGTCTTTTCTCATCCCTTCCTCTCTCCCTTCATCACCTCATCCCCTTCCCATCTGCAAGAGATCTGATGCACGTTTATAATAACAGGGTCTTTTGTTTTGAAGATTGCAATGTTTCCTTCACTCCTGAGGCATATATGGAAACCATGAAGAAATCACCATTTCCTGGATGTAGCAATGATCTAGTTTGCAATCCATATTTCTAGAATTTAGGTATATTACTACCTTTCAAGTTTAAAAAGTTAAGATTGTTCCATGGAACTCAAGCAGGACAGCCTCGAGTTAGAAAGTCACCGGAGTCACACTGACCCAAGGGATGACGGTAGACATGGGTGCTGGCCTGCGTCCTTACCTCTGATGCTGCTCCTGCTGGCTGCTTCTGTGGTGGCTGCCTGGGCTGTACGGCTTGCAGGCCCCTGGCAGCAAGGCTGGCAAAGCTCTGCAGACACGGTTGTGGCCCTGAGAGGCCCCCTTCTATGACGCCCACGGTAGCCAAGTGCTTCTCCTGAACGCTCTCCAGCCCCGGGCCGGCCTGTCCCACGCTGCACTGGCTTGGAAAGAAGGGGAGCAGACCTAGGGCAGCAGCAAGGGTTGCTGGAGTCGGAACCAGACTCAGGGCTGTCAGGACCACAAAAGCAACAGGCTTGGTTAGAAGCATCCCCTTGCCGTGTTACCGTGTCCCCTGCTGTGTTACCCATGTCCCCTGCTGTTACCTGTGTCCCCTTGTGTTACCCGTGCCCCCTGCTGTTACCTGTGACCCCTGCTGTTACCCGTGACCCCTGCTGTTACTCATGCCCCCCTGCTGTGTTATGTGTGTTCGTCTGCTCTGTTATGCATGGGCAGTGCAGAGACACCACCCTGTTCTTTCTAAAGGTGAGGCTGGAAGCTCACGGCCAGGAGGAGTCCTCTTTGGAAAGTTGAAAACCTCCAACAGTGTCAGTGCTGCTCTTGCTCTCAGCACCACCCAAGACAGTCTCTGTGCACTATATGTTTTACTTCAAGTTTTAACTGAATGCATTAGGCGTCCGTGTGCCTTTGGGGCAGTAAGTTACTTGTGTGTGTGTTTCTGTTCACATGCACAGCAGGGACGCCTGCAGCATGCAGCCCGAGATTGCACTGGGACCCCCACATCTTCTCCGCTGCCTGTCCGAGCATGCACACTCTCTGTGTGCAGCAAAGTGACTAAAACATGGCACAGTGCTTTCCACAGATGGAACACACTCCACGTCCAGGCTGGGCAAGCGGAACAGTGCTTATCTCTGAAGGACGCCTCGGAATGTCCCTGCCAGCACCCAGGCCCTACCACTCACTCGATCTCCAGGAGAGGGACTCCTTCTGCCTGGGTCCAAACTTCATTTAAGCAGAAGCCTGAGTTCTACTTCCCCGTCCTTCGCCACACGGTGGTAGGTGGCCGAAGGTGTCCTCATGGCTGCATGACACTTTTTCTCCACTGTGCAAAATCACAATTTACCTGTCTCGCTGTAGATGGCTCGAGCGGTTCTGGGGTGGAGTTCTGGTGGTTCTTGGTGCTAGCAGTAGCTGCTGTGGATACTAATGACTTTCATACTGGGGAGCTGCCACACCTACGTATCCCAGCTCCCTGGACTCCATCTAGCCCTCCCCTTAAATTGCATTTGTACATTTAAAAAATGTCCGTCGTTGCAATTTGTCTGTCTGCTTATTTGAAGAAAACAGTTCAGTCTTGAGTGTTAAACGCTCTGATGATAAGGTTTGTGCCAGTGCATGAAAGCCGACTGGCCTCTGTCTTTTCACCAACAGGTCAGAGGAGGCTCCCCAAAGAAGGCGGGAGATCCACTTGCCCAACGACGGAGCAAGCCCTGGTTCACTCCCTTCCGTCACAGACAGAATTCTCAAGTTGTGACAGTAAGAGGCACGGAGAGGCTCATGGGGAGGATTTCACAGGCTCACACGCCGCACAGTGTGTGGGCTTTTGGGGCAGAGGCGCCAAGGTCAGGGCTGGGGGTTTATGTGGTCTGGAGTGGCCTGGGCCAGGGCAGGTGAGACGGGAGCCTAACAAGTAAGCTTCCTGGGCATGAAGTCCCTCGGCTCACCAGGGCCAGCCCTGGGCTGCTCTCTCTCTCCCAGGGACTAAGCTTCCTTGGCGGGAAAACGCCGAGTGACTTCTGTACCGAAACTGCACTTACACGCTAAGTCTTAATATTACAATTCCTGATCTCCTTTCTACCCGACTGTAGTTCTCCTGCTCCTCCTGCTTCTGAGTTCAGAGTTTCCACTTTAGGAACTTGAAATTGGCCACAGCTAGCGAATTATAAGCCCAGAATTCCAAGAATGTGAATCAAGTCTTTTTTTAAACACTAGACAGCTGCCTGTTAAATACCAGCAGACCACAGGGCTTAATTTTTATTTGTTTTTACTTAGTGTGTGTGAATAGACAGGCACTAAAAATGTGAAAGTTTATGTTTTTATTCACTGAAAATAGCAAGAAATTCTAAAAGCAATTAAAGTTTCAGATGGAAAATCTCGAACCATTCCACTTTTTAAAAATCTACAGGTGAAAAGGAAAAGAGCTAATTTTATAAGCATTTTAAGTGAAATTTACATTTAATGTACTAAACAAATTTCTTAAATAATTTTTAGTATTCAATTTTTAGTATTAAAATTTCTTAACTTTTAGTATTAAACATTTAGAGCTGGGTACTTTGGTTCTTAGTGATATAAGCATATTTGGATGCTGAATTTTCTAAAGTAGCACATATTAAAGTGATGGTTTACTATTTAACACAAGGAACTGTTTTGCATGAGCTTTCAGTCATGGAAAATTTAAGTTCTTTGGAAGAACAAACCTGATTATGCCATAAACATTTCTACACTGGTTTTACTTGTGCCTGGTTGATTTTAACGGTAACAGGGATGAATTATCTGGTCACGTGACCGGTGGGTTTTGGTGTGAAGGGCTAAGTACACTCCCTATATTTAATTGGCTTTTGAATTCCTAGCAACTGCTCATTTCCCAGAGCACATTCACACATAAGAACGTTTTCATCTGCGCTTCAGCTAGAAAGTACCTTTCAAAATCACATTCAATCCTAAAGAGTTATCCATGGGTTGCAGCGAAGCCTGCACACCTGTGTGTAGAATTCGTAACAGCTAAATCTGAAGTAACTAGGGGCTGGGGATTTAGCTCAGTGGCATAAGCGCCTGCCTTGCAAGCAGGCAGTCGTGAGCTCCATCCCTGGTACCGATAAAAAAAAATGAAAAAAACAAAACAAAACAAAAAAAAATCTGAAGTAACTAGCAGGTCCACCAACAGATGAATGGAGAAAGAAAATGTGGAATTTACAGACCATGGAGAACTACGCTGCTGTAAAAAGTATACACTCAAGCCATCTGTAGGAAGATGGATGCACTCTGAGAAGTGAAATAAACCAGACACACAAACTCCAGTGTCAAACTGTTTCTCTCATACAAGAAACTCAGAGTACAAATAAATAAAAGAACAAAATAAAATGCGGATAATAGGAAACAGAGAGACAGCTCTTTTGCAAAAGGGAAGAGAACTAAGAGACAGAGAGGAGAGAGGAGAAAGGAGGCAAGGTGCACCATGCACAGGGCTGTGCCCGCCCCAAGGAGCACGTGTTACTGCTGCTAATAGGAACTAATGCACATTTGAAACATTTTGCAAAACAAAATCACATTCAGGTAAGAAATTCTGGTGAAATGCCACACGTCTATTTTTATGGGAAGAAAAGCCTTGTTTGCTACATGTTCAGAAGCACACAGAACATGTGCTCTATCTTTTCTAGCACTAATTGAAGACACCATTTAAAAATTACCAGTATATGAGCTTCATAGTGACAGATGTTAGCTGCTGCTTTTATAAAGCGCAGGGGGTGGGCCAGCCTGATCTGGTGCTCCTGTCCCAGCCCAGCCCCCGCACTCCTATCACAGTCCCTGCACTCCTGTCCCAGGTGGGTCCCTGAGCCCCTGTCCCAGCCCAGGCTGTGCTGAACTGTGGAGCACAGTGAACCCCTCAGGGGCGGCTGACCCGGCAGGCAGGGAGTGGGGGCCCCAGTAACTCATCCATGTCAGGTGCAGAAGAGGGGGCTGCTAGGAATGCATGTCCACCTCCGTCAGCACCCACTGGGCACAGGCAAACCATGGGCCAGGGGCCAGCAGGCACCAACCCACATTTACTTTTTGGTGTCTCTCCCGGGTGTCCTGGCTCCCTCCTCAGCGGCAGCGCCAGCCCCACCCCAAGTGCCGTCTGCAGGACCAGGGCGGGGGGCTCCCCCAGCAGGCCGGGCTTCTGTAAGAGAAGGGCAGGGGGAGCTGGACCGGGGACCGCAACCCTACATGTGGTCCCCATGTAGCCCAGGAGGAGCCCAACCGGAACTCACGTTGTTGGTGCGGATGCCCTCGAGCTTCAGCAGCGGTAGCTTTGCTAGGGACATAGACGGCACTCTGGGCAGCAGCGAGCTCTGCAGAACAGTCACATGCTCAGGGGACAGGAAGCCACCAAACAGCTCAACACAGCCTGAGGCTCCCTGCCAGTAAGTAACCTGAGTAACAGGGGCTAGAAGACTGAGGGACTGACAGGGACTGACAGGGATTGAGGGACTGAGAGGACTGAGAGGGACTAAGGGACCGTTCATCACAGAGCTTCCCCCCTCGGCCAAGACTGGATGAGAGACAATCTGTAGCCTCAGGGGCAGCCACACACTGCCTGTCTCTGTCCCTGTCACCTCTTCCCTGTCCATAACAGCAGTGAGACTCACAGCAGAGCCCGAGGAGGGCTCTGTTGCCCTCAGCCCAGAAGTCCCCAGGACGTGTGTCTCGGTCCAGGAGGAGCAAATTTAACAATCAGAACCTAGGAGCCCAGACACAACTCAAGGGGGACCGGGGATGACAGGACCCATGGTGGGGTCTGCTGAGCCGGGGTGACCAGGGTGGCTCCCTAAGGAACGCTGTCCCCTGCTGGCGAGTGAGGAGGTGGCGGGGGCCAGTTAGAGCATAAGGTGAAGATGCGCAGGGGAGGGCACAGAGGAGCAAAGACCTGCCTGAACCGAAGGGATCCCAGGGTGGGGATGTAGGTGACAGTCACCAGCAGATGGGGGCCTGGGCCTCACCCCACTGACCTGAGCCTCACTGCCCCTACTTCCTTCCAGGGTACAGCCCGACCCCGACCCTGCCATTTGCAACTCTGCACTGGGAATGCTCAGCTGCAGCCCCAGGGACCAGCAGGCTTAGCCAGTACAGACAGATACTCCTGAAACCGAGGGCCAGTGGTGGCAGAGTCAGCTCCTCCACACACAGCTGTTGGAGGGCTACAAGTCTTCGTCTTCGCTTTGAAGCATGAAGCCAGCCTGTTCAGGCCTCGGCCTGGAGATAGGACTTTATCACAGCCTGAAACAGCACCTGGCTATAACAGGCAACATTTACCTCCGGTGCCACAGCTCTCTGAAACTGCGTTTAAATGGCAATAATTTAGTTATTGCTCGTTTGCCTTATACGCATAATTACACACCTGCTTACATTTCTGGCCGTGCCGGGGGTGGTGCCCAGGCTTCACTGAGCTGCACAGCCCTATGAAGTCTTTTTGAGTAAAAACCACTAAGAACTCTGGCTTGGAAGCCCTGGTTTATTACCTAGGAAAACTGTGCAGCAAACACAGCTCTTCCCTTCTCAGTGCCTTACAAATAGGACTCAGTAATGCACCTGTGCTGCTCCAATTAGCTTCACAGGATCTGCTCTGCTCACTGCGTCACGATGATTTTACGAAGCTGCATAGGCTTATTAAGGATTTTCCTTAAAAGCAAAATAATCGGTTCGCTTCTTGGGAACTCTGAGTGCTAAGAACAGGTGAATTGTTCTCTCCAGACACTTGTTGCCCTGGTGTCCCTGTGCCCCCACCAGTACCTGGTGTGCTTGATTCAGGTGTAAGAATGTGGGGGTTACCGGGGGGCTGATCAGCTGCGACAGGCTGGGAGGTCCACCAAGAACCACTAGAGAAAACAGAAAGACTTAAGGGTATGGTGTATGGGATGGCAACAGAAGGGCCCAGAGGGAAAAGGAACACATCCTCAAACTTCTAACAAATCCAGGCTCTCTCCCTGCAGCTCGGCAGCCAGCTCCCGCAGAAGCAGGTTTTCCTTTCAGTGTTCGTTTCTGCTCATTCTGAAGCTTTGTTATTTGGTGCGCAGATATTTAAGCCTGCTATTCCCTCTGAATGAACCATTACAGTGTGACCGTCTTTGTCCCCAGTCCTAACTGAAATCTTCACACCAGGAAGAGCTGATTCTGCAAACAATGAGTTTCTCAGTCTCCTCGCAGTCAGCACAGGAGTGGAGACCCTGGGTCATTCAACTGCAGAGGCAACAGCAGAAGGCCTAGCCCACCAAGCCAGGATTCCCCAAACTGCTTCTCAAGTGGGCACATGTAACTGACCATGACTGGAGACACTTCCTGGGGGCTGAGGCCTGGGGGGGGGTATGCGGGGGGCAAGGTGAGCCCTAGAGTGGGGTAACCCCACGCAGCCAGCAGCGACCTCGCCTGGTGCGAAATAGAGCTGCATGTGGCAGGTGGTGTCCAGCGGCTGGGACTATTGATAATAGACGCACTGCCTGTGCCAACTGGGGACAGATTTGTTCTAAACTTTAGTACTGAATACGAACACATGTCCCCTGCAGTGCTAAAACAGCCATGTTAGGTAAAGGCGTGCATTTCGGAAGCTGAACTCTGCTGGGGAGGGTGCCAAGCAGGCCGCTACTCGGCGTGCACAGATGTGGAAGAGAACCGTGTGATGCTTAGAAACAGTGACACTCTTGTCTTTGCTATAAAGTGGGACAATTATATGACAAAGGATAATGGGAAGAAAAGGGAGGAGACAAATCATCAGCACGTTTAATCGCATAATCTAAAGCTGGCACTTAGCCTTTGATGGTATGGGCGGACTGATGTGGCATGTTAATTACTCTCTGCTCTGTAAACTCATGTTAACTAAGAGCTAATTTAGAGCTTAATATTTAACACTTATTAACATTCAAAAGTAGGGGATGTGGGCTGGGGATTTAACTCAACGGCATAGTGCCTGCCTTGCAAGCACGCAGTACCGAAAAAAGAAAAAAGTAGGGGATGTGGCCAGGCGTAAGCGGTGCACACTATAACCCCAGCACTCAGGAGGCTGAGGCAGGAGAGTCGCTGTAACTTCAAAGTCAGCCTGAACTGCTATCTCAGCTCATTGGTTCCAATCTTTACCGGGGCCTGGGAAATCAACCACCTGCAGCCCACCCTGGATGTTTTCAAAGGCGATGGCTCTGCCCATCCCCCCAGCTGGTGCCCTGCTCACCTGGCTTCGCCGCACACGTGCTCTGCCGGGGCTGCAGCAGCACCTGCAGTGTGGCTGGGTTGCTCAGTCCCTTCATGATCTGCACCGGGCTTGGCTCGGGGAGCAGCCCCTTCTGGCCACTCTGTACCTTTGGGAACACAGAAGGTGGATAGGTCAGGACTGGCATGTGATGGTGACCGTGCCAGAGATGCGGCACCCAGGCTGTCCCGAACCCTCCCCAGCTGAGGATGCTCACCTCTCACTCTGCATCTGCCATGCACTCTGCTCCTCCCCCTGCCAGGTGCCCTGCCCCCCTCGAGCCCCAAGCCTGGCTTCAAGAGGACCAGCAGTCACAGTGGGAGAAACCCCATCATAAACACCAATGAAGGGAGATGCAGAATTGAATCTTTTTGGTCTTTTTCCTTTTTTATCGGTACCAGGGATCGAACTCACGACTGCCTGCTTGCAAGGCAGGCGCTTATGCCGCTGAGCTAAATCCCCAGCCCCCTAGAATTGAATTTACTAACACCAAGATCACCTGAGGCTGTATGGGCGCTCAGACACCAGGGAAGTCTCTTTTTTTTTTTTAAGTTTTTTTGAGACAAGGTCTCCATAAGCAGTTCAGTCTGGCCTTGACCTCGTGATGTAGCCTGGCTGGCCTTGAACTTGCAGGGATCCTCCTGCTTCGGCCTCCTGAGTGCTAGGAAGTATACTGCGTGCCCCGCCGAAAGAGTTCTATTATACTCTGACTAAAGTTTAACAGCAGGGTGGGGGAAAGCGCAGCGGTGGAGCTTGCCAAGCACCTGCCAGGCCCCGCACTGCCACCAAAAATAAATTAACAATGTGTGCAGTCTGACAAATCAAAACTCTGCACACTACACGTCCTTATTTCCTCACCTTACTCCTCCATTGGAGACCAGGATGCACAGGTTTCCACGCCTGTGCCTGGGCTGCTCCCTAAAGGTGAGATTGTTTTCAGTTTTACAAACTAGCATGATATGTGAGCAATAAGCTCCAGGCCATGAATCAGACAGAGAGAGAGAGAGAGAGAGAGAGAGAGAGAGAGAGAGGACCCGGCCAGGGGGTTCCCCTGCCCAGCCAGCACTAAAACACAGGGGAAGGACATGGGACTGGGATGCCGACCTGGATCTGGGCCCCTGGCCAGCAGAGGGGGTGACAGGAGATATCTGCTGTGAGCACTGCCTGCCATGTGTGCATGTGTGTGACTGGGACTGACCCCAGGGCCTTTGCACTGAGCTCCATCCTCCACCTTTTTGATATTTTTATTTTAAGAGAATCTAAGTTGCCCAAGTGTTGGGCGCAGGCGCTCAACATACCATACCCCACCCGGGACTAAGGACCACGCCAGCTTCCGCAATGCGCTACGTCCCTCTTTAAATTAGCCAACCCGTGCGCACTTCGTGCTCACTCCGTACTCTGTGGCAACTCCTGATTGGCCACAGCTGGATATAGTAGCCAGAGCCTGCGTCCCATTCCCGCCCTGCTTCCTTGTGGCAGCCTGTGATTGGTCACGGCCAAATATATAAACCAGAGCCCGCGTGAATAAAGCAGCAGTTAACTGTCGTCCACAAAAGCGTCTCCTGTCTCCTGTTTCATTGGGGAGCTGCGCCAGTCACCCAAGAGCCGAGGTGCTGAGGCTGGAACCCAGAACGTGTGTTGCCCATGCTCTGCCTCTGAGTGGCACCCAGTGCCCTGGCCTGAACTGAAAGCCCCACCCCACACGTCACCGAGACCCAGCCAGCAGGGGCCGTGGCCCCAGAGCAGCAGAGGCATATGTTGGGGCTGGCACTGTTTGCAGGGTTGAGGTCCCCGGGCCACTGCTGTGCTGCACCTCCCCCTTCCCATACTTCTGCTCAGCCTGGGGAACACGGCAGGGAACCCCCACCCCACCCTGGCAAAAAGTCTGAAATCACCGCTGTGCACCATGGTCAGGCTGCACTCTCCTAAACGGTGACAGCTTCTCATTAAAAACACAGCCGTGTGACCGGGAAAGGTCAAGATCCACACTCCTGTCTGACTCTGGGGTCCCTGTGGCTGATGACGGGATTTTAATAAAAGGAAAAGGGCCCGTGATGGAGTGGGGTCCTGGGGGCTCAGCAAGGACGGTGTCACCAGGGAGCGCCCCCCACACCCCTCCCCCGCCAGCTACCCCCCCCCTGGCAACAGTGAAACAGTGACCCACTTCCCCAGGGGACATGTTGCTTCAAGCTGTCTTCAGAGTCAGGGGAAGCTGAGGACAGGGCAACCCCAACCCCAAGCTGCTACCTCAGAGATCAGGTTAGAGAGGACACCGCACATGCACACGGGAGGAGCAGTTGGGGGACCAGATGGGGACATGGGGGGGATGGGGAAAGGGATGGAGATGGGAGAGGGGGCGGGAAGGAAAGGAAGGGGAGGGGGGGCCTGGCTCAGTCTCCTACTATCAAATGCAGATGAAAGACAGCAGTTGTGAGGGGGCTGGGAACCCCAGGTTGGCAGCTCTGGGCATGAAATTCAGGGACACTGAAGCCCAAGAAGGCTGTGGCACGGGGAGAACAGGCCCAAGCTCAGGCTCCAGCACTGGGCAGCGGCTGATTCCCAGGCGAGGCAGGGGCTCCAGCTCCCTGGGTTTCCCCACCCCAAACTCCCTGGGGAAGAAATCCACAGGGACCACGGGACCAGGGACCCAGGCCCTGGCAGCCAGGGCGGAGTCGCGGTGTCCCTGTGTCCCTGTGATCTTGACAGTGTCTCGTTTACCATCACATGCTAAAGGAAGTTCTCCCCACTCACCATATTTTTTCCCCAATCACAGAACACAGCAAAAGCAAATCCTGCAGATGATGATTTTCTTTGCAAATCCTGTGACTGAGCTATCAGGGTGTCAAGAGAATCCTGGAAACATAGGTGCCTCAGCAGTGGTGCGAGCACCACCAGGCGTCACACACCAGGGTTTAAAGGTGGCAGAAGCCACCGAGGAAGGTGCAGGGTTCTGGGCACTTCACCACCATGGGCACAGAGGCTGGGGTTGGGGAGGCACAGGGTCCCCAGGGGCAGGGTCTCGCACTCAGCTCCTATGCAGGAGCCAGGGTTGCTGAGGGGATGGACGGGAGGCTGAGGCAGGACAGTCAGAGGTTAGGGTGGGTGAGTCCTGCTGCCCAGCTCCCTGTCACCTGCAGGTCCCCCAGCCTGTCATGGGGGCCTGGCCTTTCCCTGGACTTGGCCCCCTTTCCACTGACTGTGCCTCCCCCCCACCCCCGAAACATAAGCACATCCCACTGCAGGCCCAAGTGCACTCCTGTTCACTTGTAAAATTCTTCCCAAGAGTCTCTTCACGCCTTTCTGAAGCGGAAAGCGGCTGCCGGCTGGGGGTTCACACTGGTGCTGCCACGGGCCGCACCCCTGTTCCCTGAGAAGGGACACAGAGCTCTGGCCACAGCGCAGGGCGGGAAACCCAGCACCACAAATTACATGTCCAGCCCGACGAGGGGCAATTGGCCTGGGGAAAGGCAGTGACAGCCGACAGATGGCTGAGCGCACAGGAGGCCAGAGAGGGCTCAAGAAAGGCCAAGACCCTCACGGCGACAGCTAACTAGAAAAAGGGCAGCTGGGTGCGGCCCACACCTGTGACCCAGCGCTCGGGAGGCTGAGGCAGGAGGAGCACCACGAGTCCAAGGCCAGCCTGGGCTCCATAGTGAGACCCTGTCTCGTAATACCAAAAAGAGGGAGAGTGGGTGATCCAGGAAGTAGGTCAGAAAGTAGGGGGGATGGGCCCCAGGCGAGACCAGGGCCCCTGAGTCCCTCCGTCCTCCACTTTCCTCCCGCTCAGCTTGCTGCAAACCCCATTCCACCCCAGCTCCCGGCTCCACCCTTTCCCTGCAGTACCAATGGAACAGGCTCTGGGCCCCCTGCTGTGTGCCACCTTCTGTCCCAATGCCACAAGGCTCCGGTCTCCTCCACCCCCATCTCAGGGCCCATGTGGTCCCCACGGAGCTTCCCGAGAGCTGCATGATGATAACAAGAACGTGACCCGGGAGCACCCAGTAAGGGAGCACTCGGCTCCCAGGCCTTTGCGGGGTGGGCACTTCCTGGTTTGGCTGTGTCCCCTCCCCAGCCTCATGCGCTCATAGGTGGAGCCCTCAGGAGGTGGCCCTGGGATTTAGGGTGTGTGGTTACCTATGAGAGGGCTAAGCATGGTTCTGGGTGTGGATAACGGAAGCCCCGGCCCAGGGGTGGGTGGCACCAATGAACACGCCTGCAGCCGGGATGGCAGTAACAGGACAGAAGGAGAGCGGGCTCGCGTGTCCCCTTCTGCCTGCCCTGCCGTGGACTGTTCCCCCTCTGCCACACCGCCCTGCCTTGGAGTCAGATGACTACAGACTGAACCTCCACAAACTGTGATTCCAATAAACCTTTCCCCCCTTAACTTGTGAGTTACGGATATTTTGTCCCAGCAATGACAAAAGTAACGGTGACATTTCAAACACAGGGATCTTGGGATGGGATTTAGTTCAGTGGCACAGTGCCTGGTCCTGAGTTCAGTTCCTGATACCAAAAAGAAAAGAAAAAGGAGACATTTTGCACTCAAAATTTAAAACAGAATAGCAACTCAAGTATTTGCTGAATAGATGAAATCCCTTCAAAACATCTGAACGTACTTTGCTGAATGCAATTTCCGCTTCTGGTGACAACTGGCCTTAATGTCATATTGTTTAACCAAGCTTTTAAAACAAGATAAATGTGAGGAACGCTTCAGGAAAAGTAGCAGCAGTTCAGTCTGTGACAGCTGCCTGGGGTGGGAGGCGCCCAGGAAGACAGCACAATGTCAGAAATTTCCCTGTCACTAAATGGAAGGCCGGGCGTGGGGGTGCACGCCTGTCATCCAGCACGTGGGAGGCTGAAGCAGGAGGGTCGCTGTGAGTTTGAGGGCAGTCTGGGCTGTACAGTGAGTGCAAGGCTGGCCTGGACTCCACAGCGAGACTGTCTAAAAACCCTTAACAATAGTAATAATAATAATAACAATAGTAACAGTAAGCACTACGGGAAAGGAGAGCTTACCGAGCGCTGCCCTGCGATCAGGGCTGCCAGCGTGCTCCGGCCCGGTGCCCCTGGGGCACAGAAGGACACCTGCACCGTGTGGCCCCCGATGCTCAGGCCCGAGGCCGCCTGCCGTGCCTCCTCGGCGTGCTGGGCGCTGCTGTACTCCACGACTGCGAAGCCCCCCGCGCAGCGTCCTTCGTCCTGGGCCAGCTGACAGGACACGGCTGTCACCAGCGTGTTCTCGCAGGGAAGGACCCTGATGAGAACTCAGCTCCACGTTCAGAAACACAGAGCAGGACATGCGCTGGTGACCTCTGTGTCCTGGCTCTGCGGGAGAAAAGGTTTTCCGTTGCACAACGGTAGTCCTTCCCGAAGAAGGCAGGAAGATAAACAAGGGTTTGTTGATGTGGGGCAGGGTCTCACGATCAGTTCAGGCCGACCTTGAGCACGCTTTGTAGCCCAGGCTGGCCTCGAACCCAGAGATCCTCCTGTCTCAGTCTTCTGGGTGCTGGGATGACAGGCGTGCACCCCCACGCCTGGCCGGACCACACTGATGTAAAACAAAGTCAGCATCGTCCAGCAAGAACGGGAGAAGGACCACGTTCAAGCTTTTCCTCAATATTTTGGCTGTGCCCAGGGCTCTGGTGAAATATGGGCACCGTGATGCTGTCAGCCTGGAGCCCACCTGGATGATCGCCAGCGCACTCAGCTGCCGAGCCACTGGCCGGACAGGGGTCAGTGGGCACATCTGGGAGCACGCCCTGACACCCAGGGTCTGGCACCTCACAGGTGGCTATTCCAAAGGAACCCTTTGAGGGGTTTTGATCACTTTTACTGCTGTTTAATTTATTTTTGCGCCACGGGGCGCTGTACCCAGGGCTCTGTGGCCAGTTACATCCCCACCCTTTCTCTCTTTTGTATTTTGAGACAGGCTCCTCTACATTGCTCAGATTGGCCTTAAACTTGCAATCCTCCTGCCTCAGCCTCAGACTGCTGGGGTTACAGGGTGCACCCCCACATCCGGCTGGTTTCATTTATTTCTTTAAAATGAACTTTTTCTGCTTTGTTGGTATTTGAACTAAATTTCCATTTTCCTTCATGTACTTTTTCCCTTTGGAAAACTGTCCTCAGATAACTTTTCTCCTTGAAACTCTTCCCAGCTCCGTGGGGAATGGGGGAACTGCCGGCCTCAACGCGGAGGCGGGGACCTGCCGACCAACCCCCCCCCCCCAATGGCCTCCAAGCCTGATCTGCCCCCAGCTTGGCCTAGGGCCCCGTCCGTTGCAGTCCAGAGACCTTCCGACAGGGGGCGCCCTAACTCCGTCTTCATAATCATTTGCAAACTAAAAATGTCTTCTGATTATGGTTTCAGGTCTTTCCAAAGGCGAGAGTGGTCTCATCCCACAGCCCAGGTGCTCTGAGTGGGACAACTGGGGTCCCCCGGGAGCCTCTGCAGACTGCGGGGTCCAGCCTGAGTTTGATTAATGCTCCGTCATCTCAGGTTTCACAGCACAAGCTGACCAGTCACCCACAATCATCGCAGCACAGGCCCCAGGACCTGGCCTCCAGCTGGGGAACTGCGAGCCCCTCCCAGCCCAGGATGTAGGAATGGGGGAGGGGGTGCCGGCTGCCCGCCCGCACTAGGCCTGCAATGAGCTCTCCGCCTGGACAGTCACTGGTGATCCCGAGTGCTGGAGGGGGAGCGGCGGTGCCACCACCACCTCTGCTGCCCAGGCCCTGCGTGCCAGAGTGTGACACCAGACTCTTAACGTTACATGACGACTGGTTTTTGTTTTTGTTTTTTGTTTGGTATTGGGGATCTATCTCAGGACTTGCTTGCCAGGCAGGCGCTGCAGGGCTGGGCTCAGTCTGTGGCCCTGGTGGTTTTTTTGACGTTTATTACATTGCAATCGATGGGGTGGAGAGTGGGGGTGGAGAGTTAAGAAAATGCGGGGGCTGCGTGCACCTAAAGACGCGTCAGTCCTGCACAGGCACCACCTCTGACACACATCGGACCCAGCGCGTCGACCTGAGCAAGTGGGTCTCCCAGGGATCCGCCAGGGGCCGGGAACGTGGGGCGAGGGTGGGGTGACTGGAGAGACGTTGCTCAAATCATAGGAAACATCAGGGACACAGAAAGCGTGAGCTCACGGGGTTGCCACACGGCACTGCGAGGCCCTGGATGGTCATACCGTGCTCAGACAGGGGCGATGGCTCCACCTGGGGTCGCTGCACATGCTCATTCCCCTCTACATGCAAACGCTTTCTCACACCCGGAGGGGCCGGCGGGGGCGCACACCTGTCATCCCAGCACTCAGGAGGCTGAGGCAGGAGGATCGCAGCGAGTTCAAGGTCAGCCTGGGCTACAAAGTGAGGCCAAGGCCAGCCTGAACTGCACAGTGAGACCCTGTCAAAAAAGGCAAAACAAAACAAACAAGAAAAACACCCCACCGCGGGGGCTGGGGATGCGGCTCAGGGTAGAGCTGTTGCCTCGCATGCACCCCGGGTTCGATCTCCAGAACCATCAAAAAATAAAAAAATCCTGGACAGAATACACATACACAACTTCACCTGTCAAGTACACGCACACACACATACACACCAGGTTTCCGCCACTTTCGCCAAGGAAAGGATTGGGGAGGACGTGGAATGGGCAGGGGAACACAAAGAATGGGAGGCCCGGGTGCCCAGGACAGCAGCAGAACCGGAAGTGCACGACACCAGGGCACTGGGGGGACCTGCAGCAGCATCACCGCCCCGCCCCAGGGACCCACAGAGGGGGCATCTTTCTCCAAGGCCCTGCATCCTCGCTTGGGGCAGGATGAGTGGACACAGGATGGAGTAAGGGGACCAGAGAGGCTGGGCAGATGCCGACTGCGGGAAACGCAGCCCAGGTCCCGCGCACAGGGCCTGGTTTCCAGCCCCCGAGCGTGGAGTCCTCGCTGCAGAGCAGAGTGGTGCCTAGCAATCCCTGCACCCCGCGTCCCCATGTGTCCAGGTAAGGGGCTGGGCACCTGCGGGGGAGAGGAGGCCGCCTCGATCACCACCCGTCTCCCAATACCTGGCAGAACACCGGCGTGTGGACGCCAGAGAAGCAGCGCAGCAGCTCCCCAGAGTCGCTGTAGTTGGCCGGGAGCTGGTCCACACAGAGGCAGCGGGAGTGGACGCGCTCGGAAGCCAGCAGGTTGACGTCCATCCACTGCGCGAACAGCGCCGAGGGCCCCAGCCGCTTGCCCAGCAGCTCCAGCCGGGCCCGGGCCGCCGCGTCCTTCTTCATGTACTCCACAAAGCCATAGCCCTTGGACAGGCCAGTCACCTCGCTGTAGACCAGGAAGCACCGCTCGATGCTTCCGTAGGTGCGGACGAGCGCCTCGAACTCCTCCAGCGTCAGGGACTGGGGCAGCCTGGTGACGCACAGCAGTGCGTCCGTGGGCTGCAGCTGCACCACGAGGTCCCTGCCCCGGAAGGAGGCCTGGTGGAACGTCCGGATGGCGCTGCGCGCCTGGTCCCCGTCCAGCAAGGTGACGAAGGCTGCAAGAGAACAGGGCCTGTTCTAGGGTTCAGGGTCGGGCGGAGTCTTAAACAGCTCCCTCAGGGGCCTTTTCTGGTTCAAGGCTGACTCTGCTGCTAGACTAATCCATGGCCAGCTGCTCAGGTGGAAAGTAGAGAAATTATCTCAGGCGTTCTGATCTAAGAGCCACTAGATTTTCGGGGAGTGGGGGGTTGGTAATCTCCAACCGCACACAGATTCGATTTCCCCCCAACAACCTGATTTCATGAAGATTTTATTGGGGGAAAGAACTCACTGATATAAAAATGTGGCTATGAAATCTCCCTTTCTTCCGGTGAGCCAAAGGACTCTGAAAGCCAGGATCTGAAATAGTGAGAGGACAAACCGGGCAGGGTGGAGCACTGGGAGAGCCCAGCACTCCTGAGGCTAAGGCAGGAGGGTCCACGAGTTCAAGGCCAGCCTGGGCTCCACAGTGAGTTCAAAGTCAGTCTGCATTACACAGCCTGGACTTCCAGAACTGCTTCTCAAAAAAACCAAAGAAATGAAGCTGCAGCCAAAAGCCACCAGTCACCCAAAGGAAACCACTTCTTTCCAGTTAATTTATATTTCCCTAAACTCACATCAGACTACAAAACCCACATGCACAGACGACCGGGGGCACCACGTCTAAGGGAAAGATCACCAGTGTCTTCTGAGCTTGGACAAAGAACTTCATTAAATCCTGAGAAAACAATTTTAAAAAATCTGTCCTTTCTGACTAAGGAAGTTGCTCCAGCATCGAGAAAAAAATACAATGACAATTTATACAATCAAAACTGTGCAATAGGTTCTAAATCCATCAAATGCATATTCCTCTCTGTTAGTAATAACTTCAGCCATGTCACTTTATCTTTTGTCATAAAAAGGAAACATGCCAAGCCACGTGAGAAGGAAGTCTGGAAGTCTCGTTTTTAGGAAACAGTAAGACAACCTGAAAATTACAAATCAGCCACTCCAAAAGCTCCCACCTCACCACGCAGGGACACACAGAGGCGCTGCTTGGGCCACCACAAATGGCCATGGCAATGTGGCCACAAAGAGAGGCAGCCGGGTGGCGTGATGGTCACCACCATCGCCCTGCGGGGCCAGTCACCGAGCTGAGCACAATGCTGTCCTAGTAAAGAGCGCGGCCCTCACTTTGGGGACAGCACTGCACTGGAGGAAACGCATCGCCACGCTGCTCTGGGGACCCTTAGCCGACGCCCTTTGCAGAAGACGTGAGCTGTCTGTGTTCTGAGTCTCTTCCCTTGACCCAGTGCCCACATGGGTGCCAGCTCCCCACTTTTCCCTGCATAGCGCAAGCCAGAAAACTCTCAGTTCATCAACCGGCTGTGTTCTGACCTCAGCTCCCCCGGCTTGGGCTCCCTGGGACTGGAAACTGCTGACCATGCCCACGAGCAGCTCCCTGTTCTGCTCCTTCCTGGCACAGCCCAGCCTCTCCCCCCGCCCTGCTCACTCTCTGCTCACACCTAAGCTGCTGCCTCTCACCTCGCGCACACTCGTCCCACCGTCCCAGCCACATCCTGTAGCAGCTCTGGAGAGCTCTCTCCTGAGGGTCTTCAGCAGCACTGTCCTGGCTGCCTCATTGTCCTGAATCCATTCTAAATGCTTCCCTCTCCCTCTCCTGGTCTTCTGACTTTGGGGAGGTGCCTGATCTGGTGACTGAGGTGAACGAGGATCCAGCATTTTGTGTTTTTAGGAGCTGCCTTTTTGCTGGGCATGCTCGGCAGTCACTGGATTGATTATTCACTACACCTCGAGAAACCCTTAGGAAAGAGCCTGGAGGGCTCCAGGCTGCTGCACACAGCACCAAGCCAGGCAGAGACAGGCAGTAAGTGGGTTCCAAGCGGGCGGGAGGATTCCCAGGGAGATTAAGGGCAGTGTGTATTTCATCGTAATTTTTAAAATCTAAATGTTCACATGTCACATGGAAGTATTAAACACAATAACCTAGAGCCTGACAAGGCCTCCTCTACCCTAATAACTCCTGACTTTAGGGTGCTAGGGATTGGACTCACAACCTCACACTTGCCAGGCAGATGCTTGTGCCACTGAGCAAAATCCCCGGGCTCTGACCCCATGTTCTTAATCTTCACTTCCATACATAGGTACCTGTGAACACACACACACACACACACACACACACACACAAATGCACGCACACAGACATCCAAACACGGCTCACCATCCCCTTCCTGTCTCCCCAGAACAAAACACAAACAACAAAAAAGCTGCCATGGCTGTATCTCCCTTTCGTCTCCACTGGCTGGGTGCTACCACACCCCAAGTCTGGAGCCAGGGTGCCCTGTGCTCTGCACACTGCTTGGGCAGAACCTCGAACTCTACCCACACGGGTCTCGAGCCTCCTTCCCTTCTTCCTGCTGCATGGTGATGATAACTGATCTCCTAAAGCCAGGAGGTAAGGCAGGGGCAGGGAATGGGGGAGAGGGCGCCCTGACCCCAGGAAGATGGGTGACCTCACTCGCCTCCTGTCACCAGGGTCTACACCTGGCCCCAGCCACTCCCAGCTGACTTCCAGACTTCACCCAGGGTCCTTGGACTCGCTGGAAGCCTCCGAGGCTTTTGTCCTTGCTCGGTGTGTTGTTCGCTCGTGGACACAGTTTGTGAGTCCAGGTGCCCGTGTCCCTGCACCACTGGACATGCCATTCAGTGCGCCAGGTCGCACCCGGCAGGCGCCAGGCGAGTGACGGCGAGTGTTGAGTCCACCCAGCGACCCACAGCCCGAAACACCAGCCGGTCTGTGCTTTTCCCTCCCTCGGGGAGCTGCGTTCTTCCCAGCCGGACTTGAGAATTCTACCATCGGAAATAAATAATGTACTTAAACGAATTAAGTTTAGGCATAACTTCCTCCATTTCTTTCCAAGACCACACATTCTCTAAAAACAGTAAGTCTGTTCACATCGGCTCTGTGGACACGGCAGTGGTCACTTGCAGCTCATTGGGGGATCGGCGTTAATTCTGTCATTTCCCAGTGAAGCTGGAGCGCTCCAGTCGATCCCAGTCCTGACACAACTCCCTGCTTGCTCCACTTATTAACTGGGCAGACTGGACAGAAAGCACACTGACCATTCCTTCCCTGGCCACCTGCTCCCCAATACCAGGGATTGAATCAAGGGCCTTTGCGCTGGGCTACACCCCAGCTTCTCTCTTTTTAAAACTCCGAGACAGGGTCTTCTATGCTAAATTGCCCAGGCTGTTCTTAAATTTACAATCCTCCTGCCTCAGCTTCCCAGAATGCAGGGATTACAGGCCTGCCCCATAGTTCCCTGCTCCTATTTTAACACAAGGGCTTCTTCCTACCCCTAACACAGAAGGCTGTAATGTCAAAGTGTAGTTTATAGTTGTAACCATCTGTTAGAAAATGATTTATTAATCACACACATTTCTACAGAAACCACCACGGCCACATTATTGAATCCAAGGCAAACTGCTTAATCCAGTTGGCAAGTTTCTCTGCTGTGCTAGGTGGACATGAGTTGGGCCTTGATGTGCACAAACCCTGCCTACCACTGCCTGGGAACAAGGGCCATGGGACCTGTAGTGTGGGTGCCTGGCCCTCCCCACCTCTGCCTTCCTGCTCGCATGCATTTATTTCTGTGTGTATTATAAATCTCATAATACAAGGCGGGCATGATGGCACACACCTATCATCCCAGCACTCAGGAGGCTGAGGCAGGAGGATTGCTGTGAGGTCAAGGCCAGTTTGGGCTACATGATGAGTTCAGGGCCAGCCTGAACTGCACAGTGAAACTGTCTTTAAAAGGCAAAAAACAAAAAATAAAAATAAAGCAGGGGATTTGGCTCAGTGGTATAAGCACCTTCCTGATAAGCTCAAAGTTGTAAGTTTGATCCCCAGTACCAAAAAATAAAAATACCTATAAAAACTAAAAACACAGTCATTATTTTTGCTTTAAACAATCAATTATCTCTTATTTAAATATTAAAAGGAAACTTTAAGCATATAATGACCATATCTGACTCCCCACCACAGAACCCAGAGCCTGGGTAATTGCTATGGACTGAACCCCACCTCAGCCCTCTCACCCGGCATTTGCGTGTGTGCGTGTGTGTGCACACCTGTATGTGTGGGTTTCTTGTAATGCATGTTTCATGCTGATGAATTCTTTCAGTGCTTTTGTGTGGCTGGACCTCTGACCCTCCATGTGGAAGCAGATTCTTAGTGGGTAAAGAACTGGATGGTGGTTATTTTCTCTTTCAACAAAGAGTAAGGATTCTGGCTGTGATTTCTCACCAGGGTGTTTCCAAGAGACCCCCAAGAGCTTTCAGATAAAACCTCCTTCTCACTTTCTCTTTCTTTCTGTTTTCTCTTCTGCTGCATGTAGATTTCCTCCTCATCACACATTATGAGCGTTTTTACTGCGTCACCTGGGCAGTTCTGTGCCTCTTCCATCCTTCTTGTTACTTGTTCAGTCTTTCCACAACTTCTTACGCATGGAACATGGGTATAAAACTTCCTTCGGTAGCCGGGCATGGTGGCTCACGCCTGTAATCCTAGCACTCAGCAGGCTGAGGCAGGATTGTTGTGAGTTTGAGACTAGCGTGGGCTACAAAGTGAGCTCAAGGCCAGCCTGAACTACATAGTGAGACCCTGTCTCAAAAAGACAAAACAAAAACAAAAACAAAAACAAAAAAACCTCCTTCGGTGTCCATTTTAATCAATTTATCTCTGAAACTCCAGGTCAGTTTCAATAGACTGATTTCCTTCCAGTGACAGGTTCTATTTTTCTGCTTCGGGCAATAATTTTTTATTAGGTGTCAGACACTGTGAATTCATCATGCTTGGGTGGTAGATATTCTGTGTTAACATTTTTTTTTGTCTTTTTATTTTTTTATCGGTACCAGGGATCAAGCTCACGACCACATACTTGCAAGGCAGGCGCTTATGCTGCTGAGCTAAATCCCAAGCCCCATTCTGTGTTAACTTTGACATTCTCGAGCTGTGTTCTAAGGTGAGGGTGGTTACCAGGAAGTACTCGGATCTTCCCGGGGCTACACAGATCAACGTGGAAAGATCTGAAAAGACGAGGCTGAGAAAACTTGCTAGATGAGGCACACAGAAGGCCGTTTACATGTATTTTCTGAAAAGAACGATTTCCTTAACTGCATATAGGTAAACTAGAATCACAGGCTTTAGTCAAGATACTGTGATTAACAAACCACACCAAACCGGAACACCACAGCCTCCCCATCTCAGTAGCAGAACTGAAGGCAAAGACGCAGGCGGAGGAAGGCTGTGTCCTGACAGCCACGGGGACCTGGCTGGAAGAAGCCCCTCTGCTTCCTCACCCAGGGCTCGGTGGGCACTGGTCAGCTATGTGCTGACTCCGACATCCTCCATCCAGAAGGTGCAAGGCCATCTCCTCTCAGATTTACCAAAAAGCAGATCACGCCAGGCGTGGTGGTGCACATCTGTCACCAACCCCAGTACTCAGGAGGCTGAAGCAGGAGGGTCACAGGAGAGCAAGGCTGGCTGGGGGACATAGCGAGTTCAAGATCAGCCTGGACTACATAGACTGTCTCAGAAACAAAAACAAAAACAGCAAATCACAGGTCTGCTCCTACTTTAGAGGGCCGAGGAAGTATTGTCTCACTTCATGCCCCAAAGAAAAGGACCAATCATCGATGCATAGCTCTCCGCACCACACAACACAGAGCGACACAAGCCACAGAGGGGGATGCAGGGACCGGGTCCCTCAGGGCTGCCCCGGGGAGGGCAGGAAGCAGCATCACAGGAGCTGGGTTTCAGCTTCCCATGTGATGCTGCTGGCCACTGCTCCCCCATCTGAAGCACTCAGTGAGCCCCACACCAAGGCTCTCACATGCCCACACTTTCTAAATTATATACGATATCTGGTAGGACGGGGGCAGGGAGGCAGAACGCAGAGCCCCCCCTCCCCGCCCTCACGCGCTCTGCCCCGCACTGCACCCCCAGCCCTATGTGTACTTTTTAAACACAAAATAACATCTGTAACTGGGGAGGAGAGGTGTGCACTGCACTTTCAAAGCTGCTCTTACACCTCTGCCTATCACATGCACCAGAGGGAAAATCTATTTCCATCTCACAGATAGGAATCGAATGCGCAGAAAAGCTGGTTTCCCGAGGTGCCCACAAAAGTCAAATCAGTCTATTCACGAAGCCCCGAAAGTATCCCTAAACCCGAAGACCCCGAGCCTGTTAGAGCGCTGGTGGTAACCACACCACACCGCATGGGACTGCTCACTGCTGCCAGCCCTAGCGCTCCAGCCACACCATCCTCATTTATTTAGGGCACTGTCATTGCTGGCAGGAAGCGAACTGTGTCACAGTGACATCATTCAATGCTTACGAATTTCATGGACGGGCAGGGGATCTAGCTCAGCAGCACAAGCGCCTGCCTGGCAAGTGTGATGTTGTGACTTTGATCCCTGGTACAAAAAAAAAAAAAAAAAAAAGAAAGAAAGAAAGAAAAAGAAAAAGAAAGGGATCTCACAGATTAGCATGGTCATCAAAAGACAGGAAGCCTTTGTGTTCCATAAGGACCCCACACAGTCCCAGATTAGAGCCACCCAGACCACAACCTTACCTGTCCGTTTGTTTCTGTCCACATAACAATACTTCAACTCGTAATCCTTCAGCAAATCGTGGACTTCCTGAAAGAGACAGAGCCATGAGTTCAATCTACACACAAACCCAAGCAGCTTCTTCTGGGACATCGCCGCCAACCTGCCTCAGGTCAGGGCAGAAATCTTTCATGGCTCCCTAATCCCTGTCTGTCTGTCACCTATTTATTGGTTTTTTTGAGATAGGATTTGGCTATGTAGTCTTGACTGATCTTGAACTCACTGTATAGCCCAGGCTGGCCTTGAACTTGTAGCGATCCTCCTGCCTCAGCCTCCCAAATGCTAGGATTATCGGTATGCGCTATTGTGCCTGCTTCCTATTTAAATTAAGGACATTCCAAGTCTGGATCTGGCACCAGCTGAGGTCCCAGAATACAATCCTCGTGCTGGATTCCCACCCAAATGGAGCACTCACTCTCGAGTGTGCCCAGTGTGTCCACTCACATCTCCCCCTTGGTCCAGCAGAGTGGATGAGACATCGAGGCTCCCAAACTGTGCCTAGAATCAGACACAGGCTTTGAAATCCCAGCTAGAAAGTTCTTTGGTGAAGGTTTTTTCCTGATCATTTCCTGCAGACCAATTGATTGTACACCTGTGAGTCTCTGCAGCACCAACACAGGGAAAGTAAGTAACTCACTAGAATAAGCAAACTCCAGGGTTCTCACGTGGGGACCCTGTGTTCTGCTGCATAGCTCATTCCCCACTTCTGTCTGACAGCACTGGAGCCCAGGGCCTCAGGCTGTGACACACACAAGTTACCGAAGGATTCTTGGGTAAATCCACACCGATGAACCCACCTGGCTTGGATCCACACACGGCCTTGCAGTTAGATTCTCAACATATAGAAGACACAGGGGAGTTCACTGCCAGGCAGGGGACAGTGGGCCCATACTGGACGATGAGGACGAGGATCAGGTAAGCATGCTCAGGCCCCAGAGTGACCACTTCATAACCCCAAAGCCCACCTTGACGGATCCCTGCTGCTACCATGGTGAGTGCTCATGGAGCTCTTGGGAGCTCAGAGACAATGGAATCACTTCTTTTTATTAAAAATCAGAAAAGCACAGCAAACAGAAGGCAATTGAGAGGCCAAACTGCACGGGGAGGGGCGACTCGCTGGGTGGAGAATCAATGGATCAGTGGGGCTGGAGGGGCCATTCACCCATCGGCAAGGGCAGGGCACCACCGGCACTGCCAGGGCTGGCCCTGGAAGGCTCCTGAATATTGTTCCCTTAGCTACTCGTTAAAACAGCCAACATAGCAAGGGCAAGAAAATAAGTCATAAATTAACAAATAGTTCCCCCCTTTAACCCAGTGCAGGAGGGAAGAATAGTATAAAAATGTAGCTGGGCATGGTAAATGCCTGTCATCCCAGCACTCCGGAGGCTGAGGCAGGAGGATTGCTACAAGTTCAAGACCAGCCTGGGCAAAAAGTGAGCTTAAGGCCAGCCTGAACTGCATAAGAGACCCTGTCTCAAACAGACAAAAAAAGACTCTATCTATCTATCTATCTATCTATCTATCTATCTATCTATCTATTTACCTATCTATCTATATGAAAGTTGGAGCCAGGCATGGGGTGTGAGGACTCTGGGAGGATGAGGCCGGAGGATCACATATTGGAGCTCAACCTGGGCAATTTAGCAAGATACTGTCTCAAAAATAAAAAATTTAAAAAGCAGAGTGGACTAGAGTTGTAGCTCTAGGCGGAAAAAAGATTCCAAATGAACAATAAAGTTACTGACCGAACCTGCCCACTAGCAAGCTCTATTAGAAATGTTTAAAAACACAACCGTGTGCCAATTCCGTAAGCTATCGATTGTCAGAGTGCGTGTTGCTGTGATGGAGGTGTATGTCGTATACCACAGTTGTGGCCCCTGGAGGCGTCACAGCCCACTGCCAGCTGGCGAACCCGACACCCCTCCCAAGTCCTCAGCAGTGGGGCTGCGCCTTCCTCAGTGACGACTCTCATCTTCCAGCTCCGGTGCGCAGCTGTCAGGAGCAGATAAGGGAGACGGGACACTGTTCTCGTGTTACCAGGTCCCAAGGGCAAGGCCACGCTGACAGCATTCCCAAGGGAAAGCCTCCGGCTCCAAAGTATCCGCTGCAACCTAGAAATCTCACTTTGCAAACACACACCTTCCAGGCCTGGCTCCTCCACCAACCAGATGCGGAGCTGAGCTTTGCCAACTGGGGAACCGTGCCAGGCTGTCCACAAGGAAAAGAAACTGCTTTCTGTGTGCCCTGGTTGTTCTGACCCAGGGAAAAGTGGGTCACCCTCCAGCCGAGCCTCGGGCAGTTGGCCGATTTACAAACTCCAGCCCAGAGAAGGAGCCCTCGCCAGCGTCTGCCAAAATCCCACTGCGCTGACCACGCAGGCCAGGCAGGACACAGCCCCAAGGCCGAGCTCGCTGGGTGACTGGCCTGGGTCACGGCCGCGTCTGCAGGGCAAACACTGTGCCCTCCCACGGCCGAGTTGCTGGCCCGGTTCTCACAGCAGGAGGACTCTGTCAGCACTGACACCAGGCAGCCTCTTTGGGGCTCCTCTGGAGCCAAGTGGGGAACTCTGCATGGACAAGATGTCTTTCGGATGGAAAAATGAATGGAGCTGTGTCGAGGATGGCCAGCAAGTCCCCCTAAGAGTGACCACTGCAGGCACGGGCCGCAAACCTCTGTGTGCGGGGCAGGGGGAGGATTCAGCACTGCACTCAGCTCTGACCCCTGACTCCACGTCTAGCCTCTTCTGGGCCCCGACCTCCGTCCAAGTCTCCGAGGCCCTGTGCGGCACAGGGACTCTGATTTTCTTGTCCTGCCAAAGGCCCACAGGGACACTTCGCTACCCTTCACCTGCTCTGGGTTGAAAGAAGAAAACAAACATTTTTGTTTGCTTTATTTGAAAACTTGAAGTCATAACCTGATCCTCTGAGAAGATGTCGTGAGGCAAACGGCAAGGCCTGATCATGAGGTGGCAGCTGGGAACGAAGGACAGCATCTGGGGTGGGCTGGACCCATTCGGCCTCGCTCCCCACCGTGCCCTCGGCCCTGTCCCCTCCATGGCTGTCTCTAGATGTGGCTGCATCCTGAGCACAGCACTTCATACCCGGCGGCTCCGAGCTGTGTCACCCATGCGTCTGGGTCTGCGCTCTCACCACTGACTGCACCCAGGCGGGCTCCCCTGGCCACCCTATTGCTGCCCACCTGCTGGTCACCCTGTGACTGCAGGACAGGCTGGCTCTCTGCTCTCCATCTGTGAGTTTTGCACTACCAGGCTGCGTTCCTGTACACAGTGCAGAGCTCCCAGGGGGCCTGTCCAGGCTGCAGGGACCCCAGCTGGGGGCTGTGCCTAGAATAAGAGGTCTGCCAGGAAGCAGGCTTCGTGCTCCGCCTGGGGGCTCCAGGACACTTGAGCTCGGATGAGTCAATAGACACATGGCCAGGGGGCACACAGACTTTCTGCTAATGGTCAGTTTCTACCCTGCTGGTTAGCAAGGGAGCCAGTTGTGTCGGGCCAACGCGTCAGTTCAGCTGCAGAATCCAGCTACTCAGTGAAGCAGGAGTCCAGCTGTGCAGGAAAACCACACTGCACCCGCTTCACACCACACCCACAGAAGCGGTCCATGTGGGTGAGGCGGGTGAACCCAGCCAGCACAGCAGGGGCCAGCGCAGGAACCCAGGTGTCCTTCGCAAGCTCCCCGCCTCCCCAGCCTACATGCTGGACTGATCCACACCTACCGTAAGCAGACTCCTTAGATCTGATCTTTGTGCACACATGCACATACACACACAGAAGCTGCCATCACACACAGACCTCCCACCGGGGACCAGGACCCTGAGCCAAAAGTACCCCTCTTTTCCTCTCAACTTAGCCGGCTTCGGTCCTGTTACTGAGACAGGCTGGGGTCTGACATCCCGTATGTTGTCCTGAGTAGAAACCACCCATCTGCTAAGCCTCAGGACCAGCTCATTCCTCCGTCAGCCCAGCACCTTCCCAGCAGCCCCGGGCCCTGGCCAAGCGGGGTGCCTGCCGTTTTCGTTCCCCATGCTGGCAGGAGTCTGGGGATTTCCAACCACGGTTCCCCCCCACTATTTCCTTGATCCACAATGGAACTCTGGGCCTCACCATTTTTCCTGGCCATCTGGACACACCTTCTTGTGAAAAGTCAGTTCTAATCTTTTGCTTAGACCAGGTGTAGTGGCACCTGCCTGTCATCCCAGCACTAGGGAGGTGGAGGCAGGAGGATTGCTATGAGTTCAAGGCCAGTTTGCACTGCAAAGTGAGGTCAGGGCCAGCCTGAACTGCGTAGTGAAACCCTGTCACAAAGAGAACCAAAAAAAAAAAAAAAACAAAACAAACATATCTTTTCCCTACTTTTAAACTGCTTTGTTTTCCCTTTCAATGAACTGGTTAACAAATTAATTCCATGTCAGATATAGGCCTTAAGGGCACCTTTTCCACCCCTGGTCTCCCAGTTTTTCTCATTGATCTTTTTTTTTTTTTTTTTTTTTTTTTTGTCTTTTTCGTTTTTATCGGTACCAGGGATCAAACTCACAACTGCCTGCTTGCAAGGCAGGCGCTTATGCCATTGAGCTAAATCCCCAGCCCTCATTGATCATTTTTTAAAAAAATTACAACAAAATTTTAAAGCATGTCAGTTGGGGTTGATCAGGACTTTGAGAAGACAATTTTAACAAAGTCCAATTTGTGATATTTTCGTTTCTGGTTAATGCTTTTTGGGTTCTATTTAAGGAATCATCAACAAACTGGGCATGGTAGTGCAGGCCTGGAATCCCAGCATTTGGGAGGCTGAGGCAGGAGCACTGTTGTATGTTCGAGACCAGCCTGGGCTACAAAATGAGCTCAGGGCCAGCTTGAACTGCACAGCAAGACCCTCCCTCAAATAAACAAAGAAAGAAAGAAAGACAGAAAGACAGAAAGAAAGGTTGATCGCCACCTACCCACTGTCACGTGGGCACTGCCCTGCCGTTGCTTCCGGGAAGCGAGCCATCTTAGGGTTCACACTTAGGCTGTG